GAAGAAGCAGGCAATAGTACATTTCCGTCATGTGCTTGCAAATTTTCGAAAGGATATTTCATTTTAGGTTCGAGATTAGGTGATACCCATTTAATTAAGTATTATTCTTCGAAAAAGGATCAAGAGAAACAAAATACGAACGGTGCAACAAACAACAATAGACAACCGATAAATAACTCAATAGGTGATGTTAGAAAATCCGCAACTAGTTTTCTTGAGATGTCAGATTATAAATTTATAGTGTGTGATACTCTTATCAACGTTGGTCCTATTGTAGACATGGCTTTTGGTGAATTAACTTATCCGGAAGTAAGAATATATTGTATTAAATTTTTTTGTATTTTTAAAAGATATTTAGGAGTTTTATTTTTATCTAAAATATAGGAAGAATCTCAATTACATATAATACAGAAAAATCTCGAAATAGTTACTTGTACAGGATATAATGATGAATCATCAATTTGTGTATTTCATGTAAGTGATCATTTACATTTTATGAAATCAATTTGTTTCTTACGTTAAATATTAATAAGTCATTGTTAATTTCAGAGAAATGTAAACCCGATAGTGAATAATTCTTTTCCAATGGAAGATTGTACAAATATATGGACAGTTTCTTGTCGGGATTCAATGTTTATAGGAATTTCTATGGAAAGTTCGGGATCAAAAATTGACTCTAATAATGGAATCAATAGTGATTTCTTTGATAAATATCTTTTTATTTCAAAGAAAGACAAAACGATGGTAATCTATTAAAATAATTCTTTTCGATGCATTTTCTTCTTGCGTTTTATTCTGATGTGGCTTCTTAAACCTGGTTTCATAGGTTTTAGGATGCGGTGAGGAATTGCAAGAACTTCAACAAACAGATTTTTATACGGATGGTCCAACAATAAATATTGGATGCTTGTTAAACGGGACGCGTATTTTACAAGTATACGATCATGGGCTTCGTTTTGTAGATAATGGTAAGTTAATCCTTCAAACTAATAATAATAAATATAACATTACCGTCGAACTATTTCTCATAACCCTATGTTCCTAATGCATTCAGAAGGAAAACTTACACAATTAATTCCAATCGATGAAACATTTGAAAAAGGCCTGGTTGTATTTGCGAGTATTGTGGATCCATATGTGTTATTGCTATTTGATAATGGAGATATTGCATTGATGAAAGTAGATGAAAGAACAAAAAACATTGAAGCGTGTTCACAGCCCGAACGCATTAATGTGAGAAACAGTTTTTTTTTTTTTTACAAATTACATAAATGTAATTTTTTTATTTGTAGTAAATTTACTTAGTTTCATTTAATGTTTGATAGGTTATCCCGACAGTATCTTGTTGTATATATCGAGATGACTCAGAGCTTTTTTCTCTTGTTAAAGATGCAACTCAAAAACTATCTCTTTTAAAGTCTGATCATAAAAACAAAACAACTACATACTTTTCACCCATGAACCTGGATGATGATGAATTCGATGAATTATGTAAAGGCTTTGAAACTCAGAATTTAAATGAAAGCAAAGAAAATTCTATGGAAATAGATGAGGAAGTTAAATTGGATGAAACGCCACAAGTTATGGGTGAAGTTAATGAAGAAAATGTGAGCGGTAAAGTTGAAAAAGTGAAAAAAGCAACTTATTGGTGTACGTTATTTAAACAGGATGGTTCTTTAGAGGTATTATTATATAACTATCTAAAGTTTTTTCGCGTCAAGAATTATATAGTAATGTTGTAAATCTAATAATTTTCATTCTTACAATTAATTTATCCAGATTTTTAAGCTTCCCAACTTCGAAGAGGTTTTTCTTTTCCCACATTTTGACTTGTCGCCGGCAGTTCTTGTCGATTTTGCCTCTCGACAGAATTTAAATTCTACTTCACAAAAATCTGAAATAAAAGAAATTTTATTGATAAATCTTGGAAAGAGATCAAAGGAACCTTATTTAGTTGTAAGCTTAATTTTTTTTTTTTATTGCATATTTTAAATAAAACTTGTTTTCCTAATTAATTTTTCATAGGCGCGTACTATTGTGGGGGATATAATTATATATAAAGCATATCAATATATTCCCGGTAGCGATGTATTTGATCCTTTCCAAAAATCACAATCACAAGCCGAATTGTCTGAACGTCTGGCGATACGATTTTCGCGAGTTTCTCAGGAATATATATCACGCGAGACTATCTATAGTGATATTCATGATAAACCCGTCTCTAAAAGATCTACTCAACAAGAACCTAATAAAAATGATATAGACCAATTTGATGATGCAATAGAGAGACAAAATTTTCGACTCGGACCAACATCACGGAAAATCATACCCTTCTCTAATGTTGGTGGTTATAATGGAGTATTTGTAACTGGTGTTAAACCTGCATGGTTATTAATAGCAAATAACAATTTCTTGAGATTACATCCTATGAGTGCCGATGGTGAAATCAAATGTTTTACTCAGTTTCATAATGTACATTGTAAACAAGGTTTTCTTTATGCTAACCGTGAGGTAAAGTATTAATTAGGGAGTTTTTTTTTTTTTTTTAAAAAAAAAAAAAAAAAAGTGAAACTGCCACACTTCAAATAATATTTATCTCTTTAGGATATGTTAAGATTATCTGAATTACCATCTGACTTTCGATATGATATGGAATGGCCCATTAAGAAAATTCCTTTAAACCGAACGGGTTACGGCATCGAATATCATGCAGAAATGCAAGTATATGCATTGGCAACTTCCATTCCAGTTGAATTTATTTTAAGAGATGAGAATGGGGACCCTATTAATGATGTAGAGCAAGGTAAGTTATATATTCATTATGTGATCTTTTTTAATTTGTTGAGCCATTCATTGACTGACAGATTATTTGGGACGAAAAGAAAGAGATCAATTGTTGCCAGAAACTCAAAAATTCTCGCTAGAATTGATATCTCCGGTAACATGGGAAACAGTAGACAGGTTCGTCAAATTTTCCTTATTTTTATATGTTTTTCTTGATAGTTTGTTACCTTATCGTTTTTATTCCTGTATATATAGCTATGGTTTTTTGGAAGATGAACAAATTCTTTGTATCAAATGCGTAAATCTTCAAACGAAATCTACATCCAGTGGACGAAAGTCTTTCATTGCTGTTGGTACAGGTTTTTTCCGAGGCGAGGATGTGGGCATGCGAGGAAATGTACGTAACAATTTTTTTTTTTTTAAAAAAAAAAAAATAATTATTTGACCTAATTTTATACTTTTAATTATTACAGGTATACATATTTGAAATAATCGAAGTTGTTCCCGAACCAGATAATCCGCAAACAAATCATAAGTATAAGTTACTGTGTCATGAAGAGGTGAAAGGTTCTGTAACTGCAATTTGCGACGTTAAAGGATACTTATTAACTTGTGTTGGTCCAAAGGTAAAAGAATAAATTTTGCCATTTTATTAATATCGTTTATATAATCTCGTATTTTATATGTATTTATTTAACATCATAGATATTTATACGTGCTTTCGAAGATAACGATAGACTAATTAGTGTGGCGTTCATAGACATTCAAATTTACGGCAATAGCGTAGTTTCTGTTAAGGACTACATATTATTGGGAGATGTATACAAGAGCGTTTGGTTTCTTGGATTCCAGGTAATTTCTTTCAAAAAAAAATCTATTTCGTTCCAACAAGTTTATATAATCATCATCATAATTATACAGGAAGAACCAGCAAAATTAATATTGGTTGGTAAAGACTATCATTCATTGGAAGTTAGTTGTTTAAATTATTTAATCGATGAGCCAATGTTATACATCGCTGTAGCAGATATGGATAAAAATATCCACTTATTTCAATACGCACCATATAGTAAGTGTTTCAATAAATAATATTAATATTTCGAATAATGAATTAACTTTTAAATTTGTCAATGTAAGATGTTCAGTCTTTTGCGGGACAAAAACTTATTCGTCGTGGTGATTTTCATATTGGTGCACAAGTGAAAGTGATGTTAAGCATGCCAAAGAAAGAATTAGTAAGAACTGATCCTATTGAACAAGGAGGTTCGGGATTTTTGGAAGAAGAGATTAGCGGAAATAAATTACTTTGTTTATGTGGTAAGTAAAATAAAAAAAAATAATAATAATAATAATTTAGTTCAAGAATTTCATAATTTAATTTCCATCATTATTAGGAACTCTTGATGGTAGCATAAACATTATCACACCGATACCTGAGAGAATGTATAAACGATTACAACTATTACATTCTAAGATGGTGACTGGATTACAACATATCGCGGGTTTAAACCCTAAAGCTTTCAGGTACTTTGTTAATTTATATTTATCAACTTAATACACACTTTTAATGATATTTCATATTCATCCATTTCATTCATTCATAAAAATTAGACTCCTTAATTCGAAACAGAAATTGGCTATTAATCCAGCCAAAGGGATTTTAGACGGCGATCTCCTGTTTCAATTCCAAAACCTTGCTGTGCATCGTCAAAAAGAAATGACCAAGCATATAGGTACAACGGTGGAAAGGATCATAGATGATTTATTAGTAGTGCAAGAATCTTGTGATTATTTCTAGAATCAAAATTTTGTATTGTAAAAAAAAAAAAATAATTAATACATTAACAAAAATTTCGTATCGTGATCATTTTTGGGTAGGAATCCGAGGGGCTTGTACTACCCTAAAAAAAAAGATTAAACAAAAAAAATTGCTGCTTATCTTTTAATTTAAATCATCGATAGTAGAAGATGGATAATTCATAATAATGAACCAAAACAATGAGAATAATATTAAAAGTTTAAGATCTAATTTTATTTAACCGTTTCGGAATTGCTAAACATCATACGGTAAAGATGATTATGATAGTTATTTACAGTATTAGGACTTATACTAGAAACAACATCAAGAAAAGTGAAATTTTTAATGCGAATAATAATGAAAATTTAAATTTCTTCGCTGTGCAATTTTTGTTCATTAAAAAAATAATTTTTTTTATTTAATTTTTTTCGAATTTTTCTCGATAATCATCATAAAATTTAATCATTTCAGGTGTAATACGACGTGTAAACGAAGAAATCGCTTTAAAGAAATGATCATTCCTTACCTAAAATATTATAAATGTTAAAACAATTATATGTGTGTATATGCTTATGATTTGTTCATGAAATACCTCCTTAGCCTCAAGATCTTCATCCATAGCATATAAAGCTGCTTCTTGACATATAGCCACAATTTCAGCACCAGAACATTTATCGGTCTTCAATCAATTTAAACAAATTTAAATAAAAATATCGTGATTTAAAATAGAAATGTTTTTTATATAGCCTCGTTACCTTTGTTGCTAATTCTTCAACGTTGACAACTTTAGCATGTGACATTTTTTTTAATTGAATTCGAAAAATTTCTTTTCTGGATTGTAAATCAGGTGGACTTACATATAAGATCCGATCAAATCGTCCAGGTCTTAATAACGCATTATCCTAAATGAATAATAATTAACATTAATAAAACACTCTTAAGCGTATAATATAACATTTACTTACTATAATATCTGGACGATTAGTTGCAGCTACAACAGTTACATTTACTAACGGTTCAATTCCATCTAATTCATTTAATAATTGAGATAGAACTCGATCTGCAACTGAAGTACCACTTTCTATACCAATACCACGTTTAACAGTTAAAGCGTCAATTTCGTCCTTTAAGAACGGCAAATTTAAATAAATTAGGTTAATTGCTTTTTTATACGTGTGAAAAAATTTATTAAATTGATCACTTACAAAGAAAACGATCGAAGGAGAGGCTGCACGTGCTTTACGAAATACTTCACGAACTGCTTTCTCTGATTCACCAACCCATTTACTGAAAAGCTAAAATATAATAAATTCACATCACTTGATTAAATATTGGCAGAATTTCGAATTCCGATTCTGTTAAGGCATCTCACCTCAGGACCTTTCACAGCGATAAAATTCAAACCAGCTTCAGTCGCCAAAGCTTTGGCCATGAGGGTTTTACTACATCCTGGAGGTCCATACAATAATATACCTTTTGGAGGTCTTATGCCTAACCTTAGAAAGGCTTCGGGATGTTGTAATGGCCATTCAATTGATTCCTTTAGTTTCTGTTTGATTTCTTGTTGGCCACCGATATCTGACCAATATACTTTAGGAACTTCTAAGAGAATCTAAATGAAATCAAGAACGATCTCCTTTAACTTTGAGGTAAACTAAAGTATGTCGCAAAACATAGACTCACTTCTCGCATAGCACTTGGCCGAATTTCAGCCATAGCAGCTTCCATATCTTGTATGTTAACTTTTACATCATCTCGTTTATTTCCCTTTATACACCTTTTAATGGCCTTTAATCCGGCTTCTCGACAAGTAGCTGCCAGATCTGCACCAACATAACCATGCGATTTAGACGATAATGCATTTATTTCTTCGATTGTAAGAGTGTTTGGGATTTTTTTCAATAAAGTCGATAAAATAGAACATCGCGAAATAGCATTTGGAATCGCTTAAAATTGTTGAAAGTATGAATGAGTGAATTAAAAAAACAATAATAATAATAATGAGAATGTTTATGAATTGACACAAACTAATTTCAATTTCGCGGTCAAATCTTCCTGGCCTTCGCAATGCTTGATCTAAAGCATTTGGACGATTTGTTGCTCCAATAACTACAACACGATCATGTTGCGTTTCATGATTTTTTTTGTTAGTGATCCCATCCATTAAAGTGAGTAATGTTGTTACAATGCGTTTTTCCGATTCATTACTTGCCTTCATATAATTAAATTTTTTTAATAATTTTATATTGATACACTAGAAACATCTAGAATAATAAATTGTACCTCATCGCGTTTAGGACATAACGCGTCAACTTCGTCAATAAAAATAATTGAAGGTGCATTTTCAGTCGCTTGGTCAAATATATTTCTTAACTTTGCTTCAGTTTCCCCATAAAATTTACTAATTATTTCGGGACCATTCACACAAATAACATGGGATTTTGTTTCTGTTGCAACTGCACGTGCAATTAACGTTTTTCCAGTTCCCGGAGGCCCATATAAAAGGATTCCTTTGGGTGGCCGTAATCCTAAATAAATATTTGATGCGTTAGTACGATTTGAACTTTTTAGTGACAATTCAATCATTATGGAATTACCAAATTGGGTAAATAACTCGGGATTCTTTAGAGGAGTTTCTACCATCTCGCGAATTATTTTAATTTGTTCTGTTAGTCCACCAATTGAATCATAGCCAACTTCAGGAAATTTATCGTTTACATTTCTATCTTTACTAACAATCTTTCATTAAGAAATTCAAATTATTAATTGTATAATTCTAACGTTTTTTAAATCTCAATTTTACAAGAACATACGTGTGGTAAAATTACAACAGATGTATCTCGGCAAACGGGATATAAACCAATTTCTAAGCAACCATCTTCAATAGCATTCTCATCTTTCACAGGATTTACATCTTCCACATGAAAACTTCTTATTGTTCCATGATATTGAAATTCTACGCGATTGCCTTTCATTAAATATTTAAGGTCTACTACAAAATTAAATAAATCGTTTTTATTTAATATCAAAATATTATTGAATTATAAAAAAAAATAAGTTCATTACGTACTTAAAATTTCTTTTGCAAAAATATTCAACATTTGATCGATAGGAAAATCGACATTTCCTAATGGTTTCAGTACAATTCTAGATGCATTTACGATGAAACTTTTTATACGCGACAAAATCGCGATATCATCAACCTCAAGATTGGCATTTTCACGTTGCAATGTATTTAATTGGATCTCTTAAACATTCAAAGTAATCTAAGTGTTGCATTAAAAAATAAAAAAAAAACTTGATTTGATTCGCGGTTAAAAAATATACATACGGTTTTTTTTAATAGCAAATGATGGCCAAGCGATACCCACAGTGACCATCTTTAGATTCATCGTTTAATTGAAAGATAATTAATAATGAAAGGAAAACTATTTTAGTAATAAACATTTATTCTTTATACCTCAACGAATGTATTCTTTTGCTCTAACTCGTTTTCAACTTCTTTTCTGACGAAAACATGGTCACCAGTACATAACTTATGTTCTCGCATAGTTTCAACATGTAAATAAATCCTTCTGCCAAAACGAACATTATTACTACTGCTAGAAGAGGTTAGTTAATAATTTTATTAATTGCAACTTTGAAGTCATTTCGAGAATTTGAACTTTATTTCAACAACCAATCATCTATTGCGTTAACTCAATGCTTATCTTATTTGTCTTATTTTTTAGAATGTAAAAAAAAAATATAATCAAATATGTACTTATCAAAGCAAGAGAATTACAATAAATAAAAAAAAAGATTAAATCTTTCACTTAAAAAGACACTAAGATGTTGTTAACTGAGTTCATACTAATATTAATCTTTTATCATTTTCAAATAATGTATAAATAGGATGTTATAAAGGAATTTTTAATCTAATTTCATTCAAATTTAATCAAATCAGTGGGGATTGAAATTCTTTCAAAGATCAAGATCATTTGATGGATCTTTATTTCAAGGATCAACGTTTTATTGCAACGTGATCGAATTAAATCCAAGATTTAATAGCCCCAAGTATGGATTTTTCTCATAGCATCATACGTTACAGCCCTCAACGAAAAACTTTTTGTAATGCTTCGTTATGTTTTGAACAAATAATATTTTTATTATTAAAAATTTAAACAAAACTCGGTAAAAAATACAGTATATCATTCCATATTTCTTACGCGCCGTTTAAATTTAGTCGTAGATCGACATCATATTTGCATATAGAAATGATCTTCATAAACGTCAGCTATTTATATGTATTACGTATCAAAAGTATCGAGCTACTTTTCTTCCCATGACAAACAACAACTCATATTGACAAGACAAAAAAAAAAATGTTTTAGTGAACGAACTTTATTAACGTTTAATATTTTTTTTTATGTTATTTAGAAACACCAGCAAGGACGTGTGTATACATTTTTTTTTTTTATTTTTATTAATAATATCTATGCATGTTTTTTTTTTTATCAAATAGCAAACGGGCGGGAAAGAGTGTGGGCTGGGGCATAGCTGGGAGTGGGTTTAATTACT